GAAGATCTTATAACTCCGTATAGCGTTGCATCAACTGTCTGCGCGTGTACAATACAAGGTCATGTAACGTAACATCAACTGTCTGTGCATGTACCAGAAAGGATCCTATACCGTAGCAGCAATGCCCTGCGCAAGTACGAGGGAGGTACTTAAACGTAGCATCCAACACCTGTGCAAGCACATACATACATACAAAACATAACAAAACAAAGCACAGCATAACATAACATAACATACATACATATATACTTACATTACATTACATTACAATACATTACATTACATTACATTTCATTTCATTACATTACATTTCATTACATTACATGACATTACATGACATTACATTACACACATACATACATACATACATACATACATACATACGTACGTACATACATACATACATACATACATACATACATACATTACATTACATACATACATACATACATACATACATACGTACATACATACATACTAACATTACATTACATTACATTACACTACATTACATTACAGTACAGTACAGTACATTACATACATTACATTACATTACATTGCATTACATTGCATTACATTGCATTTCAAAACGTTACAAAAGATTACAAAACATTACAAAACATTACATTACATTACGTTACATTACATTACATGGCATGACATTACATTACATGGCATTACATTACATTACATGCATTGCATACATTACATACATTCCATACATTACATACATTTCATCCATTGCATACATACATACATTACATACATTACATACATTAAATTTTACAAAACATTACATAACATTACATAATATTACACAACATAACATTACATTACATTGCATTACATTGCATGACATTGCATACATAAATACATACATTACATACCTACGTACCTACATACCTACATACCTACATACCTACATACCTACATACATACAAACATGCATGCATGCATCCATACATACATACATTACATTACATTACATTGCATTACATTGCATTACACTGCGTTACATTGCATTACATTGCATACATACATACATACATACGTACGTACGTACGTACGTACGTACGTACGTACGTACATTACATACCTACCTACATACCTAAATACCTACATACCTACATACCTACATACCTACATACACACATAGCTACATACCTACATACCTACATACCTACATACCTACTTACCTACATACGTACATACATACATACATACGTACATACGTACATACGCACATACGCACATACGTACATACGTACATACATACATACATACATACGTACATACGTACATGCGCACATATGTACATACGTACATACGTGCATACATACATACATACATACATACATACACACACACACACTGACATACATACATATACACACTGACATACATACATTACATTACATTGCATTACATTGCATTGCACACATACATACATACATACATACATACATACATACATACATACATACATACATACATACATTACATACCTACATACCCACATACCTACATACCTACATACCTACATACCCACATACCTACATACCCACATAACTACATACCTACATACCTGCATGCCTGCATACCTACATACCTACATACCTACATACCCACATACCTACATACCTACATACCTACATACCTACATACCTACATACCTTCATACCTACATACCTACATACCTACATACCTACATACCTACATACCTACATACCTACATACCTACTTACCTACATACGTACATACGTCCATACGTACATACGTACATACGTCCATACGTACATACGTACATACGTACATACGTACATACGTACATACATACATACATACATTACAGTACAGACATTACATACATACATTACATACATTACATACATTACATTGATTACATTCATTACATACATTACATACATTACGTACATTACATACATTACATACATTACATACATTACATACATTACCTACATTACGTACATTACATACATTACATACATTACATACACACATTACATACATACATTACATACATACATACATTGCATACATACATTACATACATTACATCCATTACATACTTACTTGCATGCATGCATGGATGCAAACATACAAACAAGAGACCCCCCCATTCCCACAGGGGGGAGGGAACCATGACCATGACAGCGAGGGGGGTGGGGGTTGCAGGCCTGTACCATATATATATATATGTATATGTGTATGTATATGTATATGTACATGTACATGTACATGCATATGCATATGTATATGTATATGTATACGTGTATATATATATTTTACATATACATGAATATGTATGCGTATGTATTTGTATACATATGTAGATGTGTATACATATAAATATATATATATGTATATGTAAGTGTGTATATATATATATATGCATACATATGTAAATGTATACACAAATTGTAAATATATATGTAAATAAATGTGCATATATATATATATATATGCCCTTAATTTCAAATTCTGCCTAGTTAATTCAGCGGTGACGTCGTGACCTCGACTTAATTTGTACAGAATTATGGAAGAAAAGAAAAAGGTCTAGAATTGTTCCCGTGATAGACAGGCGGCGCCTGTCAATTGTAACCTTTCATTTTTCCATATAATTCTATTGGTGACTGTAATTTTGAGGGATGAAGGCTATGAAAGCACAATCTGGACAAGCTCAGAGAAAAGCAGGGATGCGCAAGGATCAGCAAGGATCGGAACATGTAGAGGGAAACACACAGAATAACAAAATCATAACAACTTCAAATGCGACTGCAACAAGTCAGGGCATAGACCTTGCCAAGAAAATATTCAACTGTTGGTATTCACCCTATTTGAACCACAATGGTATTCACTGTGAATAGTTTCAAGAGATCACCCTCTTGTGCATCATGTGTTTCCTCCCTTGTCTCCGTCCTGGGACAAGCGCTCTTGGATCCGCTACAGTCTCCTCAATCTTCCCCCTTCAATGAGACACTTTTGTTCGGACACCCAAGTGTTCCAAGAATTGAAGTGCACGGGGAGATCAAGCGGTCAAAGTCAGAGAGGAAGCCTGAAGTCAATAGGATAAAGCAGTGACCGTTAGACTTTTTTACATGTAATTACTCAAGCTTCGCCACCCGGTATAAAAAGGATTTGCTCTGCACATCGATCTGGAAGCAATGTATAGTATCAACCACTGGCTTTTCCATAAAGGAAAAATGTGGATAAAAAAAGAACAAACTGCTGGGCAAGAAGCGCAGACCCAAATCGGAGAAAAGTAAGACTTGGAATCGACCGCAGAAATAGAATCGGTGACCAGGGACGGAAACAAACCACAAACAAAGCCGAAGCAAACTCGTCGCCGGTTCCCCCTATATGGTCGCTGGCTCGCTAGAACTGGTCGCTGACTGATCGCTGATTCAACCCTGGGGTCGCCTAATCGCAGTTTATCCGAAAAAATGGCTGGAAAGATCTGGAAAGCATGAAGATATATGAAGATACCTCTGCTCAAGACCTGGACAACTGGTGACACTGGTGACACTGCCAAACACTTGAAGCAACGAAGCAACACCTGCGCGTGGAGAGGGCAGCGATATTTGGGCGAGCGAAGCGACCTAGGCACCTTCGATGGAAAAGGCAGACTCTCAGTCTCAGAAAATTCTAGAAAGTCGACAGAAAGTCAAGACCCGGGAGCAGCGCTCTTAGATCGGGAAATGGGAATTATTGCCATATCGCCACACGTCCTGAACATACAGGTTCCTCTCTGGACGGTGAGTTTGTTGGACTGAAGGTTTGGAAAGTAGAAGAAGCAGTGAGGAGGACGGACAAACAGGATGATTTAATGTAATCCCTCAACGATGAAGTGACTGAACGATTGATAGACTTTTCAAATAGATTTGACTACACAGATCAGTTTGTAGATATGCAAACAAAATCAAACAATGAATCATGATTATAGTTATACAATGTTATACACACAATACACGCTCATATTCTTAATTATTGTGCCTGCAGCTCCCACAGAGCTATGAGTTGAGCTCCAGGCTTGAGGATACTCACAAAGGAGGGCACGAGGTCTTTGCTGGCAGCTGGATGAGCTTTAGCTATCTGCGCAGACGTTCCATGTGAGGCACAGACTTGGAAACTGAGCACTGTTGCCAAATTGGGTCGCAAGCAGTACGTACGCTATTGCCACCTCAAACTGAAGTTGGAAGCCAGGCCTTTATTCCCTTCGAGCTACACTTTGCATGTATAAAACCAAAGCTTTTAATCTGCTTGGCATTGTGATCATCCTGTCTGCTCAAGTCTTTGCGCGCGCCTCACATAGAACGTGCAAAGAGGCGCCCATAACGGATGGATCAGGATCGCACAGCACCTTTCGAATCTGATCCTCACGAAGGTGCATAGAAACCCAAAGTGAGAGGAAGGGACAAGTGTGCCGGAAACTCTTGGATGCACTTACAAGAGTATGCAAATGTTTTCTGCTTTCTTGTTGCTGGATTGATCTCCTTCTGGTCTAAAACAGCCTCCGGTACAATTTTGAAGAACTTGTGTACAGCCACGATGGCCTTCTTCCGAACAGCCTCAGGACCGTCAGGGACATGTCCAAGAAATCACGCACAATCGTAGATACCAGTAGTAACCGCACGAAGCGGGGCGGAAGTTGCCTTAGGGATATTGCAACAGAACTGATCCTTTCCATTGGTCCATTCGCCCAGGTATCTACGTGCGGTTGCCGATGTGTCGGCCCAAACCTCCCTAGGCCTTGAGCCTTCGGCGATCCTGTGAAAACAGCAGCGTTTGAGCTGCCGAGTGCCATGGGTGCTTTTCGTTGTTAGGTCTTGTGTGACCTTGTGATTTCCAGTTGATCCATTCCATCCCTTTTGACAGCTGTTGGCCATTGATCTCTGTTGAATCGCTCCAGTGTCAGCTACGCTGCACTGGCAGCGGAGCTACTGGTTTTCTCTGCGCAACTCCTTGGTGTAGCTGGCCGGATGTCATCAGAGAGCTCAGCAGTCCCTACGTGGGATGGTCATCCGAAAGGTTGGCGGCGTTACTGTCGTGAGGTGGTGTGGTATGTGCAAGCTACAAAGGTGGGACAGCGTCGTCATTTGGCCACCAGGCTAATTGCACGGCTCTCCGGAAGTGCCCGCCTTTTAGCAATGTCATGGCCCCAATCAGAACTGGATAATGATCGTGGTGTACTCATTTTCCTGCGTAAGTTAGCAGCAAGTCCTTTGGTCAGACGAAGTCTTCCGAATGCCGCAGCAACTATGTCGCAGTATTTTGGGTTTCGCAAACGACAGAATGAGACAATTTCCGAATTCCTTGTTCGAGAGACCTTGTCTTACGAAGAGTTCCAAGAAGCTTTGATCCGGCTTCGTGAGGAACGCAGTGGTACTGATCCAAGCTTGCAAGACTTTGGCTTGGAAGCAATCTTCAGGAGACAGGAGGAAGAAGATGCCCAGTGGAATCGCTGGCGAAACTGGCGTGGTTCTCATGATGCGGGTGCTGAACCCGCAGCTGAAGCCTCAGCTGATGCTGATGCTACTGAGACTGGTGAGCGACCTGATGCAGCGACACATGGCTATCAGCGCGTGCCTCTAGTTTCTGAACCGGATCTCAGTCCTCAGTCGAATGTGGCTCCAGAGCATGGGATGAACTCTGCTGACTCATTTGTGCTTGATGTTCTGCGAGGATGGCGCTTGTTACAGGCAGCCACTTTGTCCCGTGATGAGTTTCGTGATGTTCTTTCTGCAACAAACAACAAGTTGGATTTTGATTCAATTTCAGGTGCATTGCAAGTGCTTTGGGATGATCAGTTGATTCAACATCCTCGACATGCCCCTTCACAGTTTAATGCACATTGGTTGGAAGGTGATCACGATTCCTCTTTTTGGTCATGGGATGATTATAATGATGATGGTTGGTATGAAGCTAACTGGATGTGGGATGATGATTGGTCGTCATGGAATGGTCCTTCTGATTCTCCCCCTTCTGGTAACTATGGTGATGCTCATGAAACACCTGACTTGAATGCCTCAGAACTGGAAGATCCGCAGATCAAAGAGGCGTATCAGTCAGAACGCATGGCAGAAGCTCTAGCCTCTGAAGCGAGTCTCACATGGAAAAAAGCCCAGGAGGCTACAGCGGCCTTGCGCCGTGATAGAGGTTTTGGAGCTGTTAAGGGAAAATCATCAACATCATCTACGGGTTGTTTTAACTGCGGTAGTCCCCTTCATCTTGCACGTGATTGTCCAGATCGTGGTGCTCCCAAGGGTAAGTCCAAAGGTTTCAATAAGGGCAAGATGGGTATGGCTGTTTATGGTGATCCCTACATGGAACAGTTTCCCATGGTGAAAGGCAAAGGCAAAGGCAAGGCAAAGTATTCCAACTACATGGATCACGAGATGTTTTGGGCTGGCAAATCTAAGGGCAAATCCTCAAAAGGGTCATCAAGTTTTTCGTTCCGTCCTCCTGGTCCGAGTGGTGTCAATGCTTATGGCATGGAGCTCTATCCCATTGAGTTCATGGAAACCCCTGAGTACCATGAGCCCCTGGATGTGACCCTGACAGCCACTACTTGGTCTCCACCGCCTTCGGCATCCCAGGCCATCAAGTCCTTCGAGGGCATGGTCGACAGCGGTGCCACAGCCTCTGCTGGTCCCGAGGCCAGCATTCACAGGGTTTTTGAGTGTTTGCGCCAAGTTGATCCAGAAGCAACATTGACTGTTGACCAAACCTTGAAACCCCGTTTTCGGTATGGTTCAGGGAAGTGGGGACAAGCCTTGTGTCAAGTCACAATTTCCTCATGGGCATCTGGACATCAGCGAAAATTTTCAGTTTTTGCTCTCCCGAATCCTCCAGAATATCATGAACCTTGGTACGATGATTCACTGTTGGTTCCTATTTTGATCGGCATGGACTTTTTAGGCGTCAATGGTGTGGGCTTGGTTCTTGATTTCGTGGATGGATACTCCTGGATGTCCAATGTGCCTGATGCAAATCCCAACTGTTTGCGAATTAGTTCAAAGGGTCACTTTGTTTTGGATTTGGTTTCCTTTCTCACCAACAAGCCACATGGTTTCACGTCTGATTCAACATGGACTCCTTCACGAGCTATCTCGGATGCAAATGTTCTGGAACTTTACATGACACAAGGAGAAGAGTTGTTTTCAACTCAACATGTTTTGCTTGACAACACAGATGCCCGGCGTTGCTTCTTTCAACAGTGTGTTCATCGACGTTCTGCCGGCTCAAAACAGAAGGAATCCACGGCTGGTGATCGAAATCTTTGGAGTGATGCCTCCGAAGACCAACCTTGCCAACAAGGCTCCCGAGTTGGATCACAGCCGAGCTCTTCCAGCAGATCCGAGAGACCCCAGATGTGGCGAATGCTGGCCATGTTTCGGGAGTCACAACGCCTCCGTGAGAGGATCAAACAGGTATGGTCAATGGACCCACTGCGCCGTGTGCAACCTACGGACGCAGTATGTTCCAAGGATGGGCTCGCTGACTCACAATGTCGAGCACATCGATCCTCACTATGTGGCGAAGGCTCTCAGCATGGTTCAGAAAGATCTCAAGGGTGTGAAGCCCCACTACAAACTCATGAAGGTGGCTGTGGAGAAGATCGAGAGCGACGAGCGCTACTACCAGATGGTGCTGGGTGCTCCAGAGATGACCCCAGTTCCGAAATCTCCCACACGCCACCAGATGTTCACACCTCCGAGGAGATCAATGCACAATTCCGAGGAGGAGCAGATCCCAGGTCCCCAGCAGCTCACGTCGAGCCCAAGCTGGCAACATGTGACTCCACCAAAGGCCCGAGCCAAGTCACCCACGGTGTCTCAGATGAGTGTGGCATCAGTTCCAGTGGTGACACCTCAGGATCTCCTGAGCCAGCTCTCAGCCGAGGAGCGGATTGCCTTGGAGCAGCGTGCTGCCGAAGCGATGCAGAGCCAATCCGAGGTTCAACCGTGATCGAGAATGTCCCGATCAAGGTGGGCAAGGCGGCGGTGAAGGTGCTCCAATTGATGATGCTTGGCCTCTTCACCAACTTCCACGACCTTGTGGTGGAGCCTCATCAGGTTGATGTTTGGGAGATTTGCTGCTCACCTCAGTCTTGGCTTTCTGAGGCATGTACCCAAGAAGGTTTGAAATGTCAGCGGATCAATCTGGCCAATGGGTTCGATTTGAACCGTCCTCACACTTTTGAATCCATGACCGAGCTCTACAAGATTCAGCGTCCGAAGAGGCTCTGGATTTCTATGCGGTGCACGTTGTGGTGTGCTTGGACCTCCCTCAACTATAACACTCCGGAGCGGGTGGAACTTTTGGAATCCAAGCGGCGCAAAGAGCGTAAAGTGTTGAGGAACCTCAAGAAATGGCTGGAGCGCAATGTCATTGATGATCATACGGTACATGTTTTTTGGGAATGGCCTGCCAATTGCCAAGGATGGTATGAACAGGTTCTCCTTGATCTACAAGACGCCCTGTGGCGACTTGATCGCGACTGGCTTCCCTGCCGAATTGATGGTTGTCGGTATGGGTTGACTAGTGGTCGTCCAGGTCATGAACACGAACCTCTACTCAAGCGTTGGTTGGTCAAAACTACATGTACTCGTTTTCATGCTCTTTACAAGGCCAAGACGTGTGTTGGTAATCATCAACATCTCCAGATCGAGAGCTCTGATACAGCTCGTTCCAGCTACTATCCCTGGAAGATGGTTGTCGCGATTGCCAAGACTTGGAAATCTCAACTTGTACCAGAACGTTGGCAATCCATCCTGTTCCTGACCGTGGACTCCAACGTCCCCAATTCGACTTTTGAACAGCAACTGTGGGAGATGAATCCAGCCGAGATGGCTGATGACATCGCTGAAGTTCCTCCTGATGAGGGGTACTCACCCACATCGCTTGCTCCTGAAGATGCACCAGCGATTCCCGCCGATTTGGCTGATGATGATGGACAAATGGTCCTACCTCCTGCTCAAGATGAACGCTCTGGTGGAGATCTTCGGCCTCAATCCATGCAGAGCTCTAAGGCAAGTAATCCCTCTCAAATGGCTTCGTCACGCTGGCAACAAGATGGCCATGGTCGGTGGTCGAAGCATGAAGCTGATGGCAAAATCATCCCATCCACGAAGCAGCTTGCCGAGTGGAATGTCAAGCTTCAAAAGTTTCACAAGGCCTCAGGACATCCTAGCAATAGGAATTTAGCTCGCATTTTGCGGGAAGCTGGCAAAGAAAAGTGGCAGATTGAAGCAGCACTTCGTCTCCGATGCCCAGCATGCGAGGCGACCAGACCCCTGGGGGTTCGTCTTCCGGAAAGATTCCGCCAGTATCAACCAATCGACTTCCTCAAGCCTGGCATATGGTGATGATGGATGTTGGTGAGTGGAATGTCGTGTCCGTGCGCAAGAAGCTGAAGTTTCTATTGATGATTGATGCTGCAACGAAGTTTCGCAGCACAGTTCCTCTTATGGTCTATGACATCAATCAGCAAGGGAACGAGAATGCCAAGATGGTCATCGAAGCTTTTGGTCGCGGCTGGTTGGCGGAAAAACCGAAACCGCTGGTGGTGGTTCCTGACAACGCCAATACGCTGTGCTCAGCGGCCTTCAGGGAGTTTTGCCACACCAACAATTTGTGGCTGAGCCCGCCTGTGGAGAAGGAGGCATGGGCTCACGGAATTGCTGAACGAGCAGTCCAAGAAACCAAGCTTTTGGCCGACAAGATCTTCATCTCTGACGGCACTCTGAGCTTGGAACTATGTCTGGCCCTTAGCACAGCGGCGTTGAATAGTACGGAGAACGCACATGGTTTTTCTCCCTTTCAGTGGGCATACGGTCACTCTTTTCAGTGGACTGATGAAGACATCACTACTCATCTCCAACTTCAACAAGCTCACCCACTGAGTGAATTTGAGAAGTTGCTGTCTTGCAGACGCAAAGCTGAGAATTTGGCACGGCAAGTCCGCGCCAACAACATACTTGTGCGGCTGAAGAACTCATGTCCCCGACAGCCTCTCCAGAACTTTGAACCTGCAACACTGGTGAAAGTCTGGCGAAAGTCCCTTCCACATGAAGCAGCCAAAGGAAAGCGCAGCGGCTTCACCAAGACCATCAAACCTCACTGGGTGGGACCTGGAAGGGTTCTGTTTCAAGAGCTATTGCCTTCCCAGAGTGGTGGTGACCGCCGCCATGTGGTATGGGTTGTTCTTGGCGGCCGAGCTCACCGTTGCAGTGTTCACTCTGTGAGACCACTAACCTCACAGGAAGAAGCTCTTCATGAAATTCAACATGGTGGCGAAGAGATGTCCTGGAAATCAATCACTGATTTTCTTCCACGAAGAGATTATGTGGACATGCTGGACGATGAGCCAGGCGCTGATGATGTAGAAGCTCCTGATCTACCAGCTCAACCAGATAAATCCACATGGTTGCCTTCATGCCGACTGTACGGCAAAACGGATAAGCAGGGCAATGACAAAGCTGCTCAGGCGCTGAAGGGTGCTGCAATGCGCCTTCCCGCTTTGCCACCAGTCAATGAGTATGAAGAGACTGACTTCTTACCAGAAGTGCCTGATGACACTTTTGAAGACGACTTGGGCAACTCTCTCAATGACCCAGGTGTGAAGCGAAAAACTGATCTCCTTGAGTCAGAAGTTTCCTCACGCGAAGCCTCCTCCAAAAGATCCTCCTTGGCGTCCTCATCCATGAGACCTATGCGTCCTCACTCAGCTGTTGATAGCGATGATATTGTCACTGGTGATAGTGTCAAGAAACCCCGGACTGATGATGATAACGCTCTCACCCTTGATCTTCATGCTGCTCTCCAAGAAGCTGAGTTTGGGTATATCATGGAAATGGAGTTGGATTTCTCAAGCCACAGAAAACTCAAGAAGTTTCTCCAGGCGCCAAACTTCTACTTGGTGCAACAAATGCGTGATTGTGAAGTTCGCTATGAGCGACTCACTGATGACTTCAAGAAGTTGTTTGACCGCGCAAAGGACAAAGAGGTGGCATCTTTTCTCAAGTCCGAGGCCGTGAGAAAGTGCATCTCCAAGGAAGAAGAGGAGGAGGGCAAGAACTCTGGCCGTGTAATGAAGTGCCGGTGGGTGTTGACATGGAAAGACACTCCACCAGATGAACGGCAAGCTTCTCAGCAAGATGCTCACGAGAATGCTGGCACTTTGTTCACCCCTTCGGGCGATCGCAAGGCGAAAGCCCGCATCGTCTTGTTAGGGTATCAGCACCCAGATCTCCTCAATCCTGAGTTCCGAAGTTCTGCACCTGTTCAATCAACTTTGACCAGACACCTGACCTTCCAGCTCTCCGTGCAGAACCAGTGGCCAATCGAAGGCATGGATCTTTCAACGGCTTTTCTCCAGACCGAGAAGAACCAGGAGCAGAACCGCATATGGACATCAGGAGTGCGTGAACTGCGTGCTGCACTTGGCGTCTCTGAGGGCGGCATCATGCGAATCCTCAAAGATTTTTATGGTTCAACGACAGCTCCTCGTGGACTATGGCTTGACATAGACCGTAGACTGCGAAGACTTGGAGCTCACAAAGTCCTTGGCGATCCATGTGCCTGGATATGGGTAGAGGAAAACCCGAATGCGGTGAACCAATTGGATCGCTTCCGCACTATTGGGTACATGGGTGGTCATGTTGACGATTTCAACAGATCCGGTGATGAGACCAATCCCAAGTGGCAGAAAATCAAGGCAGCCATTGACCGTGAGTATCAGTGGGGTAGTTCCAAAGTTGGCGCTTACCGCTATGTGGGCTCCGACATCCATCACAGGACTGGTAGCCAAGGTAACTACATCATGGTTGACCAGGACTCTTATGTGGAGAACCTCGCTGATGTGGAGATTGATCCAGTCCGTTTCAAGAATGCGGCGACAGTCCTCACTAAGTCAGAGATTGGCAAGTGTCGCTCAGCTTTAGGTGCTTTGCAGTGGTTGGCCGTGCAGACTCAACCTCAAATCTGCGCAAGATGCAATCTCTTGTTGTCTGAATTGGCACGTGAGCCAAAGATGACAGTGGCTCAAGAGATTCAGCAGGTCATCCGCGAGACTCGCAAGCATCCTCACCGTCTCCGTTTTGATCGAATCCCCTCTGTGAACCATTGGCAACAAATGGTGGTGGTGACAATGAGTGATCAGGCACACAACAACAGACCTGATGGCTCTTCCACAGGTGGTTTGATTAATTTTCTAGGCGGACCGGAACTCCTTGATGGTTCTCCCGGCCGTCTGGTGATGGTTTCATGGCGTACTTGGAAATTGCGCCGAGTAGCAATTTCCTCCAATGATGCTGAGATTCAAGCAATGGTGGAAGCTGAGGATGTCATTTTTCGAACTCGTTTGCTTTGGGCTGAACTGAATGGTGCTGGCGCTGAAAAGGGTCTTGATCTTTTAGCTTTTGCTGAGCAAGAAGTTTCTGCAGTCCCTGGTGTTGTGGCCACAGACTCAAAAGGTGGTTTTGATGCAGTGACTCTGCAAGAAGGTCCATATTTGGGTTTGTCAAACGTGAGATCAGCCATACAAGCTTTTCAACTGAAACAATCGTTTGCAGACACAAAAGCATGGTTGATTTGGCTTGCTAGTGATTGGCTCCTTGCAGATGCTCTGACGAAGAAAATCCAAGAGTGTCGCAAAAGTTTACTTCAGTTCATGCGCACAGGTGTTTGGATGCTTCAATATAACCCAGGCTTTGAGACAAGTGCACGAAAGAACAAGAGAGCAGGCAAGGATGCTCTCACACAGATGAAGAAAGCCACAGAGAAGTTTGCCAGCTGATTTGCATGTTTTTTTTGAGCTCAGTCCAGCTTTAAACTGTTGACTCGAGAGCTCATGGACCAAGAAGAATTTTGGATCGGTGCAACAGAACTGATCCTTTCCATTGGTCCATTCGCCCAGGTATCTACGTGCGGTTGCCGATGTGTCGGCCCAAACCTCCCTAGGCCTTGAGCCTTCGGCGATCCTGTGAAAACAGCAGCGTTTGAGCTGCCGAGTGCCATGGGTGCTTTTCGTTGTTAGGTCTTGTGTGACCTTGTGATTTCCAGTTGATCCATTCCATCCCTTTTGACAGCTGTTGGCCATTGATCTCTGTTGAATCGCTCCAGTGTCAGCTACGCTGCAGATATACTATAAGCCCTTTTTCATGAATCTATAGAATTTGCATGCACCGTGCGCCAGCCAGGCCCGTGCGCGCGCGCTTTGTGCGAAGCTGTTGCACAGATGTTGTCCAAGAACATGACCTGCGCACGACCCTGGCGCAATGCAACGCCAAGCAAACACTTTCCTCACACTTCACACTGCACTCTTCACACCCCGCACTTCACACTTGCACTTCACACTCCACACTTCATCTCATCTCAATCATGTGAGCTCTTCTGACCTCATCTCAGCTCTTCTCATCTCATCCCATCGCTTCTCACATGTCATCTAAGTATAAGTTCTTCTCAACTGTTTTCATCTCATCCGAGCACTGATCAACCTTTCTAATCTCCTCGAAGTTCGCCTCAACTCATCTCAGCTGTTCTGCACGCTAGAAAGCTCTTACTGTGAGAGAGAAGTCTCTTGCACACAAAAACCATTGGGCGCAGAAAGGTTTTGCACACATAAATTTGTGACACAGATGCATTTACACAGAAAAGCCTCTCTAAAATACTTTGTGCCACAAAGCTTGCACAAAGCACTTCCCATTACTACTTTGTACTACAAAGCTTGCACAAAGCACGTCCCAGTACTACTTTGTACTACAAAGCTTGAACAAAGCACTTCCCAGTACTACTTTGTAGTACAAAGCTTGCACGAAAACACTTCCCAGTACTACTTTGTACTACAAAGCTTGCACAAAGCACTTCCCAGTACTACTTTGTACTACAAAGCTTGCAGGAAGCACTTCCCAGTACTACTTTGTACTCCAAACCTTGCACAAAGCACGTTCCAGCACAACTTTGTACTGCAAAGCTTGCGCAAAGCACTTCCCAGTACTACTTTTGTACCACAAAGCTTGCACAAAGCACTTCCCAGTACTACTTTGTACTACAAAGCTTGCACAAAGCACTTCCCAGTACTACTTTGTACTACGAAGCTTGCGCAGGTACGTCCCAGTACTACTTTGTACTCCAAACCTTGCACAAAGCACGTTCCAGCACAACTTTGTACTGCAAAGCTTGCGCAAAGCACTTCCCAGTACTACTTTTGTACCACAAAGCTTGCACAAAGCACTTCCCAGTACTACTTTGTACTACAAAGCTTGCACAAAGCACTTCCCAGTACTACTTTGTACTACGAAGCTTGCGCAGGTACGTCCCAGTACTACTTTGTACTGCAAGCTTGCACAAAGCACTTCCCAGTACAACTTTGCACTACAAAGCTTGCACAAAGCACTTCCCAGTACTACTGTGTACTACAAAGCTTGCAGAAAGTACTTCCCAGTACTACTTTGCACCACAAAGCTTGCAGCACTTCACAGTACTATTTTGTACTACAAAGCTTGCACAAAGCATTCCCAGTACTACTTTGTACTACAAAACCTCCCAGTACAACTTTGTACTGCAAAGCTTGCACAAAGCACTTCCCAGTACTACTTTTGTACTACAAAGCTTGCGCAAAGCACTTCCCAGCACTACTTTGAACTACAAAGCTTGCACAAAGCACTTCCCAGTACACCCCTGCAAAATAACGTGTTACCTGAAACGCGAAAAAACCCTTTCTTAACATGGCACCTGCCGAGCAGTGTTTTATCTTAACATGGAAGAAAAAGTCCTCCCCATGGGGTCCTTTTTTTCTATGTTAAGATTTAAGGTTCACATGTTGGGAAAATCAACTGGGTTGCCCCAAAATGACAAAATACATGTACGATCTGCAGACGGATTTTTTTCTTTCTATTATTTTTGATGCGGGGGTGCCTCTGTGCTCTTGACAGGGCTCGAAATCCGCAAGATTAGCAGGGGAAAATTAGGGTGGTTTTGCATCAAAATGATAAAAAAAATTGGGTTCCATGTTAAACAGACTAGACTCATCGTGTGAAAAAACCTGGACGAAATAAAAAAAATATTTATTTTTGGCCCATGTTAATTGAGGGGTGAATCTGGTGTGGGAAGGTCCAGGTTAACCTCAAAAATCACGATGTTCGCAATTTCAGAGATTAATATGGAACTTGGCACTTTTTACGCGTTGTTTACACGGTTTTGAGGTTTTGACCCTTTAACATGGAACATTCAAAGAGAATATATGTTGAAATCTAAGTTTGAAATGGTCCATGTTAACCAAAGAACCTGACTACAAGAAATGCTGCACTTCAAAAACCAATGATTACAGCACAATAGAATCAAACTGTTCCCACCGGTTGGGGCAATGAATTCGCCTGTTCCATGTTAACCACCGGTGGGGGTCTTGGGGTCCAACGGCTCAGTCCTGAATTTGGAGATGATGAAATATTTTTTCCGGTTAAATTCTTTATTTAAAATTGCTCATTTGAAGCATTTTTGCTGTCAACAAAGGGCAATCACCAGAATCACTGGTTTTTAACAGCATTTCCAAAAATACAATAAACCCAGATCCGGGCATAAGGGAAGTTGTTTGGGATCCCAAATAGTAGACCTATTCCATGTTAACGAGTTCCAGAGTCGGGACAACACATGGAAACAACCAGAACCTGACTGCAGGAAATGCTGTACGAAGTAAATAATAAATAACGGTAAATCCAAATCCAATTCAAGAACCAAGGGTTGCAATACAATAAGAGTGTTCCCGCCGGTTGGGGCAATGAATTCGCCTGTTCCATGTTAACCACCGGTGGGGTCTTGGGGTCCAATGGCTCAGTCCTGAATTTGGAGATGATGAAATACGTTTTCCGGTTGAATTATTTATATATTTAAAATTGCTCATTTGAATCACTTTTGGTGTCAACAAAGGGCAACCACCAGAATCACTGGTTAAAAGCATTTCCAAAAAATGCAATAAGCCTAGATCGGGGAAAAAGGGAAGTTGCTTGGGAGCCCAAATTGTAGATTTATTCCAGGTTAACGAGTGCCAGAATCGGGACAACACGACCCTCCCCCGACGGTGGTTAACATGGAACAGGCGAACCCGTTGTTGGGGCAATGAAAAATCATGAAAAATAGAGAGAAGCAAGGAGAAAACAATTCACAAAAGTAAAAAACAGAGAAAAACACGGAAAAAAAAAATTAAAAATAATGAAAAATAAAGAAAAACAAGGGAAAAAGTAAGGTTGATATTTCAGAGCTGGGGACGGCGACTCGGAGTAGGGGAAGGCGGGCTACAGAGCCCGGGCTCGAGGACTTGGACCAACAACGGGTTCGCATGTTCCATGTTAACCGCCGATGGGGGTCTTGGGGTCCAACGGCTCAGTCCTGAACTTAGAGATGATGAAATTATTTTTTCCGGATAAATTGTTTATTTAAAATTGCTCCTTCGAAGCATTTTTGCTGTCAACAAAGGGCAACCCCCAGGATCACTGGTTTAAAAGCATTTCCAAAAAATGCAATAAGCCTAGTATAGATCGGGGAAAAAGGGAAGTTGCTTGGGAGCCCAAATTGTAGATCTATTCCAGGTTAACGAGTGCCAGAATCGAGACAACACGACCCGCCCCGACGCTGGTTAACATGGAACAGGCAAACCCGTTGTTGGGGCAATGAAAAGTAATGAAAAATAGAGAAAAACAAAGAAAAACAATGAAAAAAAGTACAAAATACAGAAAAACACGGAAAAAACAATTAAACATAATGAAAAATACGGAGTCGGGCAAGGCGGGCTACAGAGCCCGGGCCCGAGGACTTGGACCCAACAACGGGTTCGCATGTTCCATGTCAACCACCGGTGGGGGTCTTGGGGTCCAACGGCTCAGTCCTGAATTTGGAGATGATGAAATATCCGCCGACCCCTGCCGCCAGCAGGGGGAGCGCGTCAGAGGAGGCCTTACTAGCAACAAGGAGGTCAGACAGTTAGTTTTCTTGTGGGTTCAGAAAGTGGCGTTCGGCAGTGGGGACCGTGGCCCGCAGGCCCGGTCCGTCCTTCAGGGCCCTGCTGTTTCAGCGGCGCCCACGCGCGCCGCAGCTCCTCCAGCAGGCTCTGTGTACTGCGCCTGCCACGCCAAAGGCAGCCAGGAAGCTATCTGTACTGCGCCTGCCACGCGACAGCGGCCAGCGGCGCCCACGCGCGCCGCAGCTCCGCCAGGAGGCTCTGTGTACTGCGCCTGCCACGCCAAAGGCAGCCAGGAAGCTATCTGTACTGCGCCTGCCACGCGAGTGAGTGAGTGAGTGAGTGAGTGAGTGAGTGAATGAGTGAGTCAGTGAGTGAGCGAGTGAGTGATGAGGGAGTGATGAAGAGGAGGCGGCGGAGGGCGAGGCGAAGGCGGCACCGGCGGGATCCAAGCGAAAAACAAGAACTCCACACAGTGATGTGGGGAACAATGAAAAAAAGTACAAAATAGAGAAAAACACGGAAAAAACAATTAAACATAATGAAAAATAAAGAAAAACAAGGGAAAAAGTAAGGTTGATATTTCAGAGCTGGGGGCGGCGACTCGGAGTCGGGGAAGGCGGGCTACAGAGCCCGGGCTCGAGGACTTGGACCCATGACGGGTTCGCATGTTCTATGTTAACCACCGGTGGGGATCTTGGGGTCCAACGGCTCAGTCCTGAATTTGGAGATGATGAAATATTTTTTTCCGGTTAAATTCTTTATTTAAAATTGCTCCTTTGAAGCATTTTTGCTGTCAACAAAGGGCAACCACCAGAATCACTGGTTTAAAAGCATTTCCAAAAAATGTAATAAGCCTAGATCGGGGAAAAAGGGAAGTTGCTTGGGAGCCCAAATTGTAGATCTAACCACCACAAGATGCGTATTTTGTTTTGGTTAACATGGACCAGTTCAAACCTGGCTTTCAACATAAATGTTCTTTTAATGTTCCATGTTAAAGGGTCAAAACCTCAAAACCGTGCAAATACCGCCTAAAAAGTGCCAAGTTCCATGTTAAGCTCTGAAATTGCCAAAATCGTGATTTTTGAGGTTAACCTGGACCCTCCCGCACCAGTTTCACCCCTCAATTAACATGGACCAAAAAGATATGTTTTACTTTTTTTTGTCCATGTTATTTTGCCAGGGAGTACTACTTTGTACTACAAAGCTTGCACAAACTACTTCCCAGTATAGTACTACGTTGTACTACGAAGCTTGCACAAAGCAGGTTCCAGTACTACTTTGTACTACAAAGCTTGCACAAACCACTTCCCAGCACTACTTTGTACTACACACAGCTTGCACCCAGTACCACTTTGTACTACAAAGCTTGCACAAATTACTTCCCAGTACTACTTTGTACTACGAAGCTTGCGCAAAGCACTTCCCATTACTACTTTGTGATACAAAGCTTCCACAAAGAAAGCTTTTACACACAGCAAGTTCTTTGACAGTTGAAGCTTTTACACACAGCAAGCTTTTTAAACAGAGAAGCTTTTACACACAGAAGCTTTTACACGCAACAAGCTTTTACGCAGAGAAGCTTTCACTCACAGCAAGCTTTCACACACAGCAAGCGTTTACACACAGAACACTTACACACAGAGAAGCTTTTACACAAAGCAAGCTTTTACACACAAAATCTTTTACACACAGCAAGCTTTTACAGAAAGAAGTCTTTACACAGAGAAGCTTTCCTGTACATAATCACAACAAAAATTGCAGCTCCAAAACCGGATCTCCACGCCAAAGCGACGAAAAGACGATTTTGAAGCATTTTAGGAAAATTGCTACCGCCAAAATTGAGAAAATCTGCCTTGATGCAGCCACTCCAATACGAGCTACGATGTCCAGCTGCAAATGGGAATAGTACTACGCATGCAGCCGCGGTGCCAAGCAACCTTGACACAGCCATTACAATGCGTTTTGCAGCATCACGTGGCTAACCCGCATGTATCTACACATATGGCAACACCAGATGACAACAATCATGTAGCCATTCCACTGCGATCTGCAACCACAGATTCCAAAACACCCTATAACTACGCACGTGCAAGCACACCCAAAGCAGCTTGAAGCCACCGTTACAGTGCGGCAAAAAAAGGCAAACCGACCGCAGCCGCAACCGCCGCACACAGGAGGTACCTTTCAACGCCGGCTGCAGCCACTTGACACGGAAAAACACAAGTTTTCGTGCTCCGGCTTCCTCCCCAACACAAGCCCCATGCAACATTCATGCAGCCATTACAATGCGTTTCGCAGCATCACGTCGCAAACCTGCACGTGTCTACGCACATGGCAACACCAGATGACACATTTCAATGCGATCTGCAACCACAGATTCCAAAACACCCTATAACTACGCACGCACAAGCACACCCCCCAAAGCAGCTTGAAGCCACCGTTACAATGCGGCAAAAGAAAAAGGCAAACCGACCGCAGCCGCAACCGCCGCACACAGGAGGTACCTTTCATCGCCGGCTGCAGCCACTTGACACGGAAAAACACAAGTTTTTGTGCTCCGGCTTCCTCCCCAACGCAAACCCCATGCAACATTCATGCAGCCATTACAACGTGTTTCGCAGCATCACGTCGCAAACCTGCACGTATCTACGCACATGGCAACACCAGATGACACAAATCATGCAGCCATTTCAATGCGGCCTGCAACCACAGATTCCAAAACACCCTATAACTACGCACGCACATGCACACCCAAAGCAGCTTGAAGCCACCGTTACAATGCGGCCAAAGAAAAAGGCAAACCGACCGCAGCCGCAACCGCCGCACACAGGAGGTTTCATCGCCGGCTGCAGCCACTTGACACGGAAAAACACAAGTTTTTGTGCTCCGGCTTCCTCCCCAACGCAAACCCCATGCAACATTCATGCAGCCATTACAACGTGTTTCGCAGCATCACGTCGCAAACCTGCACGTATCTACGCACATGGCAACACCAGATGACACAAATCATGCAGCCATTTCACTGCGATCTGCAACCACAAATTCCAAAACACCCTATAACCACGCACGCACAAGCACACCCAAAGCAGCTTGAAGCCACCGTTACAGTGCGGCCAAAAAAAAGGCAAACCGACCGCAGCCGCAACCGCCGCACACAGGAGGTACCTTTCATCGCCGGCTGCAGCCACTTGACACGGAAAAACACAAGTTTTTGTGCTCCGGCTTCCTCCCCAACGCAAACCCCATGAATCTATTGTTATGTAGTGTAAAGTCACACACCGCCCTTCATCAAGGTCAATTCTTTTGTGATGTGTTGTTATGCAGTGTAAAGTCACACACCGCCCTTCATCAAGGTCAATTCTTTTGTGATGTGTTGTTATGTAGTGTAAAGTCACACATCGCCCTTCATCAAGGTCAAGTCTCACAAATCTATTTGTCCGTAACACGGAAGTATTGCTTCCCAACTTCCTTTGATCATAGGCACAACATGGCACAACTCAAAGGTGCGCCTCTTGCGGATGAGATAAGAGTTTGAATACCAGAGGGGATATGGCAGGGATCATCTCCAAGTTCACCTCCAAATCTTTCAAGGGTAGAACTGTCTTTTCACTATCGTCGCTGTGTCGTATTGATCAGATAATCGGGTTAGAGTCAAACAAGGCCGCAAGACCAGGCGACAAACTGAAGCGAGAGCAGAACAAACCTCAGAAGAAACCCCAAAAAAGGCAATTTGATTTCCTCATGAATGTATAGCAGGAATTGAAGGTATCAATAGGGTCAGGATACTGAGCAAGGTTGGCTGAGAAACAAATGACTGAACTTTGGGGTTCCAACCTCAATGTGGTTGGCACTTTGCAAGTCCCGCTGCATTGTATTGATCAGCAAGAGCATGAGCTCATGATCTTTGTGCAAGAAGAGATTGCAAGTTAAGTAGCCGATCCTCACGGAAGTTGTTCACAGCTGGTTTCAGCAGTGTATCAAATATCATGGCCGCTCTGCACAAAGTTTGGGTATATAAGCTATATAATATAAATTTGCGGGATGTATGTCATGTCATGTCATGTCATGTCATGTGATGCAGTGCTGTGCTGTGCTGTGCAGTGCAGTGCAGTGCAGTGCAATGTTACAATAATGTATGTATGTACGAATGTATGAATGTACGTACGCAAATACGGATGTACAAATGTATGTAAGTATGTAGTTTTGCAAGTATGTATGTAAGAATGCAAGAATGTATGCATGTATGCATGCATGCATGCATGCATGCATGCATGCATGTAAGCATGATGGTGTCATGTTGTGTCATGTTGCGCCGCGGTGTGTCATGTTGTGTCATGTTATGTCACATTGTGTCATTGTGTGTGTGTCATGGTGTGTACTGGTGTGTCATGGTGTGTCACGGTGTGTTATGTTGGGTCATGTTGCTTTGCGGTACGCTGCGTCGCGCTGCCTTGTGTTGTGTTTGTTATAATAAGGAACTTCTATGTGTATGCATATGTATATGTTTATGCACAATGCATATGCATATTTACATGTATATGTATATGTATCTGTATATATATATATATATATACATAACTATACATGTAACATGTATACATTTATATAAAAGGATACATCTACCATCAGGAAATTATGTGTATATACATTATATATATATATAATTATATATATATGTCTCAGAAGCGTAACATCATGTAAAATCTGCAGTGCGTATATTATATATATATAAACACACACTCTAGTGTGCCACAAACGGTCTGCACAACCTGAAGGGAAGGAATGAAGGAAGGGAGGAAGGACGGGTCTGCAGCTGAGTGAAAGCGTTTTGACTGCATCATTTTTCACTTCTTTGGCTCAAATCGAAAAAGGACGATAGGGACAGGTGGGGCTTCAGCGCATGTGACAGGCCACCTCGTTTCGAGCCATTGTACACTATCCTCCTTGACTCATGCCTGTGGGGATACATTGGAGACAGTGTTTGTTTGGATCTGCCTGGAGGCATGTGTGCGTGTGTGCGTGTGTGGGTGTGTGTGTGTGCGTGTGTTATATAGTGATAGTGTTTGTGCGGGTTCTACGTAGACTGCAAGCACACGTTCAAGCAGGAAAACACATTGAAGACTGCAAAAGAATTTTCCGCCCGTAAGAGGCCAAAACCGAAGATCAAAAATGACACTGCTGTGGGCACTGACACTGTTTTCTAACTGGCAACCCAATCATTGGGTGGTAATCATAACCCGACCACAACGCTTCGACAATGTTCAAGAACATACTCATTTGGCAATGATTGTACGAAAACAATCCATGCCTTCGAACACAGCCTGTGCCTACCCTGCTTCTGCGAGCATGATGAACAATTATGGAAAGTCTTACCATGGCAAGGAACATTTTGGAAAACTATCTGCAAAACTGGCAACAGGGTGTGGGAACCCACGGTATCCAAGAATCGAATGTCATGATTCCAAAGCATGCACGAACCAGGAAACAGCAGGGGGGGACTCAAAAGATTCCCCAACTAGAGCCGCAGTCAGCCATCAACACCTATAGACGCAGCAGGGGCAAAGCAACACATCACAACCAGCACGCAGAAAGGCCCGCTCTTTGCCATGACTAGTTATATAGTTGAAAGGCAAATACACTCTCACACCCAAATTTCTCACAGAAAGTGCATAATGACAAATGCAGTTTTTGTTCAAGTGGTTGGCTCCTCTTCGCGAAGAGGTTCTTCTCGTGTGTAAGCTTCACCGCATGAATGTATGCGAAAGAAGCATCATGTCCTAGCATCTCTGCATAGACCGCCCGGATCATGTACTCCTGACATGTTGACTGCAAGGTTCGGTTTCAAAAATAAAGCAGAAGTTGTAGGAAGCAATCATTCGGTTGCATGAGGTGGACGGTTTCATATTTATTTGCCTACTTCCCCTTTTTGTGCATCGAATGCTCTGAGACCCACCAAGAGATATCTTGCTTGAATAATATATACCAAAGGAGGACAGAACGCGGCATCCGAAATCAATCAACTGAAGAATCTGCAAGCTCAAGGTCTGGTCCATCCCACTTCCAGCCTTCATCTTCTTCGCCGATATGTTGGGCGCACTAAGGTGCTGCTTCAATATGGCAATCTCCCCAACGATAATCTTATCCTCCTCCTGCTTGGAGCGTGACTCGCCAATGCTCTTCACCAGCTCGAAAAACTCCTGCCAAGCCGTAAACCCTTCCAATGCAAGCAGCATAAGCCCTGCCACGTCAAACACGAGACCTTGCCTCCCTTCCCAACCTTCCTCCATTGTGGCCCTTGCCTTGCTCAAGTGGCCACCGCTCATGCTTTGCACCTTGCAAGCACCACTTTCAGCCAATTTCCCTCACAGCGTGTCACAAATCACTTATTCGCCTGCCACAGGAGCAGACATGGCACCGGTCCCGTTTGCGATTAAGATGAGCTGCAGATTTGCCAAGGGAAAACCGCTGAGATATGATTCCATTTTATTGAGGTTGTGGAGGATAAATAAGCATCAGGTGAGATTCTGGAGCAAACAATATTTTCCGGAGCACAGCTAGTTCACAATCACAACGTGCGCATGAATTGATTGATGTGCCTGCATCGCTGCCAGCACTCTCAGCAAAAAACTACACTATCCTAGCTGTGAAACTGCATTTTGCATCATTTTGCATCAATTATTTCCACTTTGAATCAAATCATGGGCCAGGCAAATTCTGCAATTGTCTGGCCGCTTCCTTCGAGTCAGACCTCTCTGATCTACCGATCTTCCAAAGATCAGCCCAGGGAAAAACCATCACTTCCTGCACGAAATCAGGCATGCAAAAGAACAGGGAGGCAGGGAGGCTTGATTCGGACTGGGACAAATCAAAAATTGGCGGAAATAAGATCGGCTCAACAACGAAGGTGCCCTGCCATCTTGCCTGCTGCATCACCTGTCCCAGAGAGGTTCCGTTGTTCTTTCCAAAGCATGACAAACTATCAATAACATATGAGGACATGTGCAGCTTGTCAAAACGTTGCTTTGCACTGACACTTTGGTTGAGAGTTCCTACTTGGCATCCCACTTGATGTTTGATATACTGATACGGTATACAGTATACAGTACACATGTTTTCTATTGCATTTTTTGAGTTATGTTTCAACAACCTACAGGAAAGTGTAGCACAACTATTCTTGGTAGTCGCCTTCGCCGTCTTCGCTGTCGACAAATGGTGTGCAAATTAAATGTGCAAAAGGGTTCATGTACATGACTGTGACATGCTGGACAGGTGAAGTATCTGTTCTTATCAGTGTGCACCACAACTCAACTAGCTTGACTGCTAGGCTCTTTTAGGATCAAAAGGCGCGCTGCTCTGCCTTGCACAGGTTATGAGCCCAACGCTCAGCTGAGGGGCGCCTGCCGTGTCGTGGACTAGGTCGTGTTCGGTGCCACTTGGTAGAAGTGGACCTCGTGCTCTACGGCTGGATCAAGAAGGCCAAGAAGGGCATGGAAGAGACCGAGCTGGACATGACGGCAGAGACCTTCGGCGTGGAGATGAAAGAGCTCTACCCAATGGCAGTGATGGTCAAGGTGGAGGACGAGCTCTACTACGAGGCGAACATGGAGGGGCTCTACGGCAAGAACTGGACGTGAGCACTGACCTGTTGGACTTAGGCACCGAGCCGAATCCGTGGTGGTCAGCAGGGGTTCAGCAAGAACACCTACGAGAAGCACGTCAGTTGACCATGGAGCAGCCGATGTGGACGCCAAGGGAAGAGGTCTCAGTCAAGGAGGACCTTCCGGAGATAGAAGATGCAGACGCGTCGCGAGAGTTGGAGCCGCTAGCAATGGGACGAATGAGTGCTCCGTCAAGTTGGAGTACAAGACGAGGTGTGGCCTTGCAGACTCAAGGGGCTATGCCATCAAATGATGATGAAGACCTTCGGTATCCTCAAGATGCTGGACAAGGTCAAGGCCTTCGGTATCCTCAAGATGCTGGACAAGGTCGCCGTGAAGTACACCCTCAAGGTGTGGACCTTCGACATCCTCAAGATGTTGGACAAGGTCAACATGCAGGACACCCTCAAGGTGTCGATCAATTTGCACACTCTCAAGGTGTGGACCTTCGGTATCCTCAAGATGCTGGACAAGGTCAACGTGCTGGACACCCTCAAGGTGTCGAACAATGTGGACACCCTCAAGGTGTGTTGGACGTGAGTTAGGCACCCTCAAGGTGTCGATCAAGTTAGGCACCCTCAAGGTGTCGATCAAGTTAGGCACCCTCAAGGTGTCGATCAAGATGAACACCCTCAAGGTGTTGAACAAGTTGGGCACCATCGAGGTGTCGCGACAGGGCTACTTGCTGGAGAAGTGCAACGTTCTGGCAAGGGGCATGGTCAAGGAAGAGTGGTGCGGCCCAATGGGATGGGAGGTGAGATACCATCTCATGGGGTTGCAAGACAAGGTGGGAAGACTGGAGGACTGGGAGGTGAGATACCAGTTCAAAGGTCTGACATCATGCAAGAGGCTGGACACCATCGAGGAGTCAGCCGTGGACCCTTAAGGTCTGAAGTTAATGTGCAAGAGGCTGGACACCATCGAGGAGTCAGCCGTCATGGACCCTCAAGGTCTGAAGGAAATGTGCAAGAGACTGGACGCCACCGAGGAGTCAGTCATGGCTATGGACCTGAACGACGTCAAGTTCAAGGTCATCGAACAGTACCAAGTGGTCTGCGAGATCAATCTCAAAGACGAGGTCATCGGCAAGATGATGGATCACCCTTGGAAAGAGTTCCAATGGGAGTGCAACAGTATGAGATGAGACGACAGATGCCACGTGAGGCAAGTCGGCAACCACAAGGTGGAGTACAAGGTTGTAGCACAACTACCTTTGTGGACGATGTCAATCAACAAGGAAGAGATGAGCGTGATGAGCTCAAGCGGGCTTTGGAGCAATCAATGGTTGAAGAGCTTCACAGACAGAAGCTTGAGATGGAAAAACAAAAGGAAGAGATGAAGAAGTATGCTGAGGACTTGCAACGCCAGCGTGATGAGTTTGAAAAGAAGAATGAGGAGTTGCAGAAGGAGCTCAAGAAGAAGAGTTCAAGCGTGGAACCACCAAGGACACCACCGCGCCGACCTCAGTACTACTCGCTGTCACCAAGAACAACACCTGGAGGAACTCAAGTTCCACCGGGACAACCACCACGGGAGGTAGCAGATCTTCCAGAACTTCCACCATGGCAGTTTGACCCATTTGCAGTTGATGAGCACGTGGGTGGTGGAACAGGTTTTGATGGTTTGGAGGATTTTTGGACTCCAGTGGATCAACAACCACAACAGCAGCATCATCTTCAACCTGGAGCAGATCGCTTTGCATGGTTGGACAGAGAGGTCAGGATGATGCATGGCGAAAGACCAAGGTTGACAGGTGAGTACTGGGAGCAACCGGTGCACAGACATGGTGGTCCACCAGCGGATTTTGGTTATGTTCCGCAACCACCACCACAACCGCCTCAAGGACATGGAGTTGGACCTTCTGGTGTACCAATGTATGCAGCACCAATGCAATATGGTTCAGTGCCACTGCAATGGCAACAACCTCAACCACAAGCAAAAAGTCCTGATGGCGAAGCTTCTGAGGTGCTGAGAAATGTGCCGATTACACTGCCAATTTTGAAGGACGTGTCAGAGTCTCAGGCTGCCCTTCGTGCAGGAGATTGGTTAAGTGAGTTGATGCCGCTGATCTCAGATGTCTCAGAAGGTGCGAGAGTGTGGTGGACTGGACTAGTACAACGAGCTCAAGATGCCTATGCAACATGGCTGACAGCGGGTCCAATGGATCGCATGGCTGTGCAACCTGACCTTCAAGTGGAGAACAAGTATGTCAGGTTGGAGTCTCGTGTGCTGTCAATGTTGTTAGCCGCAGTGCCACAGACGGTCAAACAAGAAGCAATCTCTTTGCGAGAGATGACATGTGTGCAGCTGGTGTTTCGCATTTTGAAGCTGTACCAACCTGGTGGTCTCAACGAGAAAAGCACCATCCTCAACAACTTGACTCAAACCGCAGCAGCCAAATCTGCAGCTGAAGCTGGTGAGATGCTACGCCAATGGCGACGTCAACTCCTGCGAGCTCGTGAACTTGGACTACAGGTTCCAGATCCCTTGCTGCAGGTGAGCGCACTTTCTGAAGTGATGCGGACAGTGATTGCGAAGGAGCATCAAGCGAGCTTTCGCATCAGCAACTTCCGCATGACCCATATGGTGGATGTGGCGCCTACACAGCTTACAGCGGAGAACTATCTGCAGATGTTGATCGCTGAAGCGGATCACTTGCATCATGGAACAATGACGAAGGCAAGTCCGACTTCAGGCAATCCCAAGATCAATGTGGTCAATGCTGCTGGTGACAAGGGTGGTGGCAAGAAGGGATCTCCTGGTAAGAAAGGCTATGGCAACAATGCAGAAGGCAATGCTTATGGTGCAGGAGCTGGAGCATGCAAGCATTGGGGTAAACCTTACGGATGCCTCAAGGGTGACAAATGCACCTATGCCCATGAGTGGAACAATCTCAACGACAAGGAGAAGAGATGTTGGAAGTGTTCCAGTTTGGAACACATTGCCAAAGACTGCACGGCTGGTGACAAGGTTATGACAAGTCCTGGTGATAGAAGCTCCAAAGGAAGCCCCAAAGGCAAGGGAAAGACAAAGGATGGTAAGAACGACAAGGGCAAAGGTAAGGACCGGGACAAGCCGGTCGGGGGAGTGGATCAGTCTTCAAAGGATTCACAGCCTCAAGTTGCCCAGATACAACAGCAACCTCAAGTTGCTCCGATACAACAGCAACCTCAAGTTGCCCAGATACAACAGCAACCTCAAGTTGCTCAGACACAACAGCAACCTCAAGTTGCTCAGGTACAACAGCAGCCTCAAGTTGCTCAAGTACAACAACAAGTTCAGCCCTCAGTCATGGGTGAAGTGGCCAGTCTTCTGAAGACAATGCGAACAACGTCAACGACTCCGAGGGTGTTGGCGGTGGTGACTGACAGCAATCAGGGTGTGCTATTGGACTCAGGGGCCACGCATATCCTTAGAGGACCCTATGATGAGACTGAGTGGATGCAGGCGATCCCAACAGAGGTACAAACAGCGACTGGAAAAACACAGCTGAGGATGTCAAAGATGAGCAGATCGTTGTTGACAAAGGATGATCTGCAGCCAATTGTGCCTTTGGGAATGTTGACTCAGCATGGATGCAAGATGAGGTGGCATCGCGATGGGTGCGCTCTCACACATGGCAAGCTGGGTGAAGTGAAAGTCACAGTTCGTGACAATTGTCCCTACGTGACCAATGATGTGGGGATGAAGCTCATTCGAGAGCTGGAAACTGCCGAGAAGAACAAGCAGTTGATGTTGCGAAGTTTGGAAGT